ATAAAATATTCCACGCCTATGATCCACCACCTCTGCTTAGAGGGGAGAGAGATGTATTTCTCAACTCTTGTATAGGGGAAATTTAGTCAGTGTAATTACACTATCTACCTTTTTTTTGTTCTTCCCATTTACATTGTTGAAGTGATTTTGTATATCCTTTACCTGGTTGTGCTTACTTCATGATACATCAGTTTATATGTCTTCCTACGATTCTCTGAATTATTTATATTCATCATCTCTTATGGAACGCTAATATTCTAGCCATTCCCCAACCAATGGACATCTATTTTTTTTCCCCCTAATTCTTTGTTGCTATAAAAAGTGATGCTATGAACATCTTGGGTATATGGGCCTTTCTTTCTGCCAATGATTCTGCCGATGGGTTATGGATCTCTAGGTTAGTCACTTTCTCAGTATTATTCCAAATTGCTTTCCCAAATGAATGGATCACCAGTGCATTAATAATGTGCCTGTCTTTCTCACTAACACTATTTCCAAATTTTGTCACCTTTGCCAGTTTGCTTGGTGTGACTTGTTTTGATCTGCATTTTTCTAGTTCTTAGTGAGTATTATTAAGAATAAAATGGAAAAACCTAAATAGTAGGCAAGACCTTTCTTTTTAAGCACTTATATTCTTCTGATAATGCTGTACGGCTAATAGTTATAGAATGCTACAATCTCTAAAGAATCAAAATTGCATGCAATCCAAAGGACAATGAAGAAATATATGGTGGATATCAGTGGGCTTTGGTAAATCACCAACAATGATATGCATAGAAAATGGCATGAAATATATCATCCAGGAGATATATGCTGGGGAAAAGAAGTAGACCAGTTATGTAGTAGGAACAGGGTATAACACATGGATAGGCTAAATACTGTACTAATACCCAAGGAATGTTAAAAGAGCTATATGAAGTCCTCTAGCATCTTGGGTGGATCCCTACAAGAGACTTTGTAAGGGGACAGAGACAAGGATTGAGTAGGATGAGAAGGCATGGATAGGTTGTGTTCTGTCCCAGTATTAAGGAGGACCCACATCAATGAGATCACAGAGCCACCAATATATTTAAAGTATGAAAAAGTCCTGGCATGAAAGTTTCTAAACAACAGAGATGTATAAAATGTTAATTAAATGGCAAGTATTTTAAAATATAGAAATAAACATTTGCCTAAATATGTTTCAATGATTTTTTTTACTAAAAATCACCAATTAATGGAATGAATTCTTCAAAAAGATAGTTTCTCCAAATGTGGGGAATGACACCTAAAGCAGTCTTTCAAGAGGCCACAGAACAGAACTGCAGCATCCTTCTGCACTAACTTATCAACAAAACCTTTCCTGTTGTTTTGGTCTTCTTTGGGATCATCACTGGTACGTCTCCTCACCTGCAACATGAGATGATTGGGCTAAATGATCTCAACATTTTAGTCTTGCTGTAAATTCTGTGGTGTTATTAAAAGAAATAACTTAAAAGCCACCTACTTTACTTTCATATCAAGCTCTATCTACTTAGAGTCCAGGACTTACACTCAGTGGACTCTCTCACAGGCCAGGCTAGGAACAGGAATCCTTATGGTAAGAGGACAATACAAATTAGTCCATTGCTTTCTCTGTCTCTTGCAGATGCACATGCAAAGCAAATTGCAAATGACGTTGATGGTCCTAAGTGACCTTCAGATGTCTGCGTCAGTCAACCATCTCAAAAAGAAGACTATGTTCTGGTTATATTGCCACATCTATTTGGAATGCATTACTAAGGGAAGCTGGGGGTTTTTCAGAACAGGCAGACAATAATCTTTAGGGGATGGCTTAGGTGCTGGAGGAAGGGGATGGACTAAATGATCACCTCACTTCTCTTCTAGTCTGAGGAATTTGTGATTTTATGATTTTCATCAACAGGAAAGCACTGACCACACATTTTTCCTCCATGTAAGCAGGTTCCTGGCAGATGAGTGATCTTGGGAAAGGGGAGGAGGGGCGGAGATGAGCTAAGCATGCTATTTCTGATGATGAATATTCTACCAGACATCACTGAAACAGTAGGCAAATTGTCATAAAAGTCCTGGCCTACTGAATATGTTATATTGTCAGACTTGCTATTATCTATGGAGCATCCTGGCATGTTTTTAGTACTAGCAAGTTTGTGGAAGATTTGGCTTTACTTATAAACATGGCAGTGAAATCTTATCAGTTGCTACTCTGAGAGAAACTTGGCCACACCATCTCCATGACTGGACACTTAGCATACTTAGGCTTTTCCAAAACTGTGAAGAAATTTCTGTTTTTCACGGTGGTTCTTCCACTACATATGGAAATCCCTCACTAACTTTAGTGAGAGACTGGTCAGGAGGTCTGATAGATCCTTTTCTTAGGTTCACAGAATTTAGTGCTACATGTGAGTGAGTTCATCTAAGACAGGGATTCTTAACCTTTTTTTGGTAGCATAGACCCTTTGGCAGTAGGTGAAGTCTATGGACCCTCTTTTAGAATAATGTTTTTAAATACAAAAAATAAAATTCACAGGCTTACAAAGGAAGCTAATTATATGGAAATACAGTTCTCAAAATACTAAAAAAAAAAAATTCACGGACCCCAGGGTAAAGAACCCTTGTTAACCCAGAACTCTCATTTTATAGATAAGAAAATTATAGCCTAGAGAAGTTGAAATACTTGTCTAGGGTCACACAAGTCTTAAATGGCAGGGCTAAGTACTCTGACTCCAAATTCAGTGTTTATTCCATTCCTTCTCAGTGTCTCATTCCCAGGAGTATGAGCTATAGTGTGTTCCATGGGTAATGGAAGCTAGACCTCAGAGGTCAACTGGTCCATCTCTTTCATTTTACAAATGAAGAAACTGAGGCCTAGGGAGTTGAAGTGGCTTTTCCAAACATACACCCAGGTAGTAAGTATCAGAGGCACGCTTTGATTCATTCCTCTGATTTCTGAGCCAAGATTCTTTCCACTTCACCATGCTGTCTCTCCATTGTGGTGGAGCAGGAATAGTCAGAACCTGAATAATTCCTGCCATGATGGGTTTATCCACAAAAGTAACTGAGGGCTTGCTCATGTGCTCTGGGTCATTTAAATAGGTACCTACCCACTACAGGGATTATTTTTCAGGACTCAGCAAAGCTTTTTGTTCTTTTATATCAAAATCCTGCTGAACTTACCCATTTTCTGTCCATCTGCCCCTAAATAGCTCTGTCATTGTCTTGAACCACTGCCTCATTTTTTTCTCTTGCTATCAAATGTTAGTGATTTTTTTCATTCTCTCTCTCTCTCTCTCTCTCTCTCTCTCTCTCTCTCTCTCTCTGCCTTCTTCCCTCCCTCTCTCCCTCCCTACCTCCTTCTCCCTTCCTCTCTTGCTCCTTCTCCTGCATCTCCAAGTCCAAACATTTTTGCCTTGCTTAGTTCTCACCTGGGCCTAACCTGTTGTATGGGCTTTCTGCTTCCCTTTCTCATCTTTACTTTTAATTTTGCAAATATTTCCCTGTAGTATCTTGCAATTTCTTACAATTGCCTCCAATTACTTCCCTACATGTACCTATCTGATTCCACCAAAAAGCTGATTACACCAAAAGCAAACCCCTCAATCCTTCCCTAAATACAACCAAAGCATTTATTTGTGCCCCCAGACCTTGCCATTTGCCCTACAATTACTGTCTTTTTTAATCTTCCATTCAGCTGGACTTTCTTTTACATGCTGGTGCCCTTAATTAGACTGTGAGCTGCTTGAGAGCAGGGACTGTCTGGTTTTTCTATTTGTGCCCATAGCACTTTGCACAATGCTGGTACATAGTAAGCACTTAATAAATGTTTTTCATTCATCCATTTCATTCATTCCCTCTTTCCTGTTCTTCCAGCTGTTCTTGCTTATCTTGGCCTGGTCTTAGTTGCCCCATTTCATCTTCAGCACCTATTTTCTTCCTTTGGCCATCACCCACTGTTTTGTTTTGTTTTGTTTTTAATCCTCAAAGCTTCTATCTTTTGGGAGATTTGAAAATCTTAGCCCTTTGAATGACTCCATTTGATCACCCTTGAGACAATGATTAAACAGGTAAATGACAGTAAGAAAAAAGGAAGAGCTTAAAGATTAAAGAAGCCATGACCCAAGAGACTTGGAACGATACGGGCTACACGTGATTCTGAGAACAAATCATCTCAGTGCATACCATACTGCACTGGGCTAACCAAGATTAGGGTTTGTCATTTTACAAGACATCCTCCAAATCAGAATTTTTGTTAAAACTTCATAACAACATTTCCAGAAGAAATGTCATTGGCAACATCAACTAAAAAATCTTCTCAAAAAATCTTTCCATCTAATTCATGGCAACTTATGTTGTTGGGATTCACTCTTACTTTTCCCATTCCAATAGTAGGATCTAGAATCTAGGCCAGTCAGTTTAATTACAGTATGGCTGGCATTTTTTTTTAATAGCTCTGAATGGATTTTTACAAACTGGAGCAAGAAATTAAACACCTGACAAATGCAAAGAGTTTCCTGGAAAGGCAAAGCAGAGTCTCTTGGTTTAGGGACTTTAAGAGGCCTCAACAGAAGCCAAAACAAAATAGTTTGGATAGACAAACCTTAAAGGGAAGTAGAGATTCAGAGTTTCTCCACTGCTAAAACCAGTGTTACACACTACAACAATATTCCTGAAATATTGTAATTTGAACATATTACAAGTGAAATAGAAAAAAAAAGGATTTACATTCATGAAGCATAGAGGAGGAAGGGGAAGTGTTTTCATTTTGGATACAGATTTTAGAACAGGTATGACATGGAAGTCAATTTGGCTTCGGAATTGCTTCCCTTTACTGGATAATATTCTTTTAGAAAAAAATAATTAAGTTGACATTTATTTGTAGGATAACAGATACACACAAATTATCCTTTGGTCAAACTCATTCTGTTTTTAGCAGTATCAGGGTAAAAAGTAATAATAGTCTTTATTTTTAAAAAATAATAAATGAATCAAAAGAGAAGACTTACCCTGTTGGATATCTTTCATTTCTAAATGCAAGCTAGATATCAAAATTCCCACAGTCTGAGATCTTTTTCCATCTAGCAGTTTGATGATCTAGAGTTAAAAAAAAAAAAGACATGATACTAGTCCAAAAGGTAATACCATCTTTCAATAACCACATAAAGTATGAAGAGCTAAATGAAGTCTCAAATGATACTAAATGTCACTTCTCTAACTTACTGAATTTCTTTTAATCTCTTTAGAGACTTTAGCCTGGTCATAAATCAATTAAGCTTTTCTGTATCTTTTACTGTAAGTACCCCAAAGTTATGCTCTTCTTAAACACAGCAAACCAAAAAATTACCAAACTAGATGTCATATAATGACTTCTCACTTCTATATTTACTTCAATATGAGCCAAAGAGAGAAGTAATGTGATACAGGACAGAGTGCTGGACTTGGGGTCAGGAAAACCTGGGTCTGAATCTTGTCTCAGATATTTACTGTGTGTTTTTGAGTTAGTCAGTTAACCTCTCTGGGCCTCAGTTTCCTCATCTGTAAAATGAAGGGATTCAACCTGCTGACCTTTAAGGTTTCTTCAAGTTCTAAATCTATGTTCCTTCTTTTGTGTTTGTCTTCTTCCATTAGATTGTAAGTTCCTTGAGGGCAAGGGCTGTCTTTCCTTTATGTATCTATATCCCAGAGAGCTTAGCTCAGCACCTGACACACAGTAGGCTCTTGATGAATGTTTATTAACAGCTGACGATTGATCCCATGATCCTGTACAATATAGGATTGAGGGTGAGAATAGATCTGAACAGATGACTGAGTTCAAGTTCTTTCTTTTGCAAAATGATGAAATCAAGCTCATGAGATGGTGAATGACTAGCCCAAGGTTGCACAGATAATATAATCAGATGTGAATCTAGGTCTCCAAATATAGTGCTCTTTTCACTAAATTATGCTGCCCCTCTTATGACTTTACCAGTAATTAAATGGTGTAGTGTACTCTGTAGCAACTCAGATTGCAATTCCATGCTTTTTTTCCCCCAGATAGTGTCATAATTATTTGCTGCATCCCAAAGTAGCTCTTCATCTGGTGGCTAAAATGCCTCTCTGTAATTAGCCAGGATAGGTCTTGATTGGCATATACATGTGCACGTGCACATACACACATCTGCCATACTCAAAGCCTTTCCAGCTTGGTAGAACTTGCCAGTTTTCACTCTGGGGGCAAAAGCTTTGAAAATCCATAGTTATTGGAGACATTGGAGTAGGGCCTTTGCAGAGTATCGATAACAGCAAAGAGGGGACAAAATATTCTATGTTCTGTGTGATGGACGCAAGAAAAAACAATCAATATACACAAATGATTATTGAAATCTTGAAATATTAATTAAGTTTAGTTTTGTGAAATGGTCCTGCCTGATTATTTGTTAGGGCAGGGATATAAAGGTGCTAATAGCCCTTTAAGACAACGCAATTTTTCTCATGGCAATTACTGAACTACCACACCGTGCCCAAAATTCACTTCTGCGGGGAGCTGGAGGAAATGGATCCCAAATGATTTCACCCACTACAAATTCATGAAGTACATGAACTCACCTGGACCCTTGATGTTATTTTACAATCTTTCTATTCTATGGTTACCAAGTCCTTATTTCATTACAGCTTTCCCCTTTTCTTATTGGCTTTTGCCACCACCTCTCTCCCACATCAGATGACCTGGTATCCTACTTTACTAAGATCTGGTTGAAGACATTTAGCCTGTTTCTTCATCCTTGCTTAAGAATTCATTAAACTGTCACAGTGTTATCATTTATTCTCTTCTCCTTTCTTCCAGTAATAGAAGAAATATCCCTACTATTCACTAAGGCTAATCATTTGCCTGGTTTGTGATCTGCAAAAATACTGGGATAGGATATGAAAAAAAAAATTCTCGCTATTTTCCCTAAGGAAGATTAAGAATCCAAGTAAATCAGGAGTTGTTCCCCTGATTTATCAGAATATCTTATGCTTAGCCCAAGAAAAAGCAGTTCAGTGAAAGCCTGGGGAGACCTGGGTGTTAACTCCAGCTCTGATGGTGATTCTGTGACCTTCAGTAAGTTACTTAATCTCTCTGAGTCTCATTTTCCTCATATGTAAAACAGGGACAGTACTATTTGCACAACCTAGCTTACAGCTTTCTTGTGAAGATAATACTTTGTAAAGCTCTATAAATATACACATAAGTCAAGTTAATGCGATATGTCACCCCTGTCTCACTCCCTTCTAGGTTCGTACACTTACATCATTGAATAACATTCAGAGAAACAATGGTTTGGCTAGATGACACAATAAAAGACAAACATTGGTGCCGGTGGAAGTATTCTAGAATATATAACATGTTTTCTAGAGTCTGGTAGTAAAGGCTAAAATGTCATACTCTTTTCTAGCATAGTTGTGTCTAAGACTTTATATATAGCTACTGAATGAAGTGTTAGTGTCTTAAACATTTGCCTTTCCTACTGACCAGCTTCTCCCCAAGTGACTGAGGCCACAATACTATCAATCCTATGTTGTTTGGTCAAGAGGAACAAACCCATTTGTTCAACCATGTTTCCCCAGCGGTGTGTTTCATTGCACAGTATGTCAGGAGGTTCATAAAGGAAGAAAGGGAGAGTGCTTAGCTGGTCTGTTCTTCCTGCAGACAGGCTAAAAATAAAGGAGTTTGGTACACAAATTACAGCAGGAGCAAGCTTCAAACACCTTTACAGTGTTACTTGAGTTTCACAGTTTCCATTTACAAACACACACACACACACACACACACACACACACACACACACACACACACACACACACCCTTCTGGCTATTTTTAGGAAACTGAGAGCTCGGATTAATGTGCTATAAGTACCATGAAGAGCTCAATCACTAGAGTAGACTTGGAATGAAAATTTAGGGAAAGGGGGCTTTGGAAATCTATTGGCTTCCTGTTTCATACTCAGGACAGAAAGAGCATATGCAAAATGTCAGGGAGAGAGGGGGCAGTAAACATGATAATGCAAAGAACCATAATAACTCATTTCTACAGTGCTTTAAAGTTTTAATAATAATTACTAACCTTAACATAGACCTTTAATGTTTATAGAACATTTTAGCTATATTATCTCATATTCTGTTAGGTAGGCAATATAAATATTAATATCTCCATTTTACAGATGAGAAAACTGAGTTTCACACTAACATCACACTAGCTAGTTAAGTGTCTGAAGCAGGAGTTGAACCCTGACTTTCCTGACTCCAAGCCCAGTGTTTTGTCTACTATACCCCATCACCTTCAGTACACCTGGTCTTCTCACAACGACTCTCTGAAGAAGGTAGCAGACGCATGATCTTCCACAGAAATACATAAGTAACGTTCAACCTTCTCTTTACAGATAGCTTGGACTACTTAAGAGGGTGACAGCGTTTGTACCTTTCCCCACTTTTAGTGAGTTGTAAGAGGAAGCAGCAATAATTTGCACCCTTAGAAACTGTGCTATAACTTGGAATCATGGGGTGTTGTCTTCTTTTTTTAATTTGTTTACCCAGAGTGCTAAACTCAACTTCTAGCTTTTGCCGGGTTGAAATGTATAATCCTATGATCTGTGGCCCTGCTAAAATTATCAACTGCTATCCAATGCAATGGTTCTTCCTGAGAAAGTGATAGGAAACTCTGGAACTATAGGGAAACTCATTCTATTCCTTTAGAGAAGCAATATAATGTGGCGGAAAAAACCTTTGAATCCTGATTCTAACACATACTATGGGGCAAAAATTAAATAATTTAATCTTACTGAAACTCAGTTTCCCGATCTGTAAAATGGGGATAATAATGTTTATATTGTCTAACCAGATTTCTGTGAAGAAGTTTCTTTATTCCTCTCAGAATTCAGTCATTGATATTATTGCCTCCCAGGTTTGTCTCTAATTCTTTGCCTGAGGAAGCCTTCAAATCACTCTGTGCCTTAATTTCCTTATCTGTAATTTAGTGATAATAGTTATTTTTTTCAACCTCACACTACCTTATGGGAATATATGAAGAACTCATTAGATGATATGGTCAATAATAATATTATTAGCTAGCATCTGTATAGCACTTGAAGGTTTGAAAAGCAATATATATATATATATATATATATATATATATATGTGTATATGTGTGTGTATGTATATATGTACACATACGTATATCATGCAATTCTCACAACAAGTAGGTTTTGTTAGTATGCCCATTTTAAAGATGAAGGAATTAGGTCTGAGAGAGATTAAGTAACTTGCCCAGGGTTACAAAGCTAGTACATATTTAAAGCAGGATTTGAACTCAGGTCCTTTTTTGGGACTCTAAATCCAGGGTCCTATTCCCCTATATGCCAATTCTTCTAGGTTCTTTAGATAAATTTAATACTACATCAGTGTACAAGATAATTAATGACATAGTTATGCTGGTCCATTTCTTATTTGGCATCTCTAGTCATTATATGTCTACCAAATAGCTAGGTTTCTTGCCATCATCATGGTAGTTGTAAGAGAAAGAACAAACTGATCTGGGATATGTTTAGGCTTCTCTGGGAAAATGTTGGCTTCTTCCTTGTAATATGAGGAAGACAAACAAATTACAAGGAAAATTCATGAGTGAATGGGGAGTAAAAAGGATAGAGGAAATATATATTTTAAAACATACACTTTAATCAAGTCCAGATATATAAAGTAACTAAGAGAACACATGCCAAGGGAAAAGACATTTTAGCCTAATAAGTAGGCCAAATATTTGATTAATGGGCCAACAGATTAGTAAGGTATCTGTCTGGTCAGTGCCTTCAGGGTGTGTCCAGAGTTTTCTGGAATTTGGGTAGATTATCTATGTGAGCCCCTCTGGTCCTATTTCCAAGGAAGTATGATCAAGTTTAATTATGATTATAGCCGAAACAACAACTGGAATAAACAAGGATATTTATTTGAACTAAGTTTTGAAATTACCGGACCAAGTAGATTGGCATGGGGAGTGACAACCAAAACCAATAGAGTAAAGCCAGGAAAAGGCAATTTGGGCCGAGGAGAAGGAAGAAAGATTCTCACAAGTGAGCTTGCT